CCTGTTTCCATATCTTATCCATAAAAATAATGCAAGTTCATGATATACAGACAGGCTGCGATTAGTACAATTAATTCAACCTCGAAAATGTACTAATCAAAATTGTTCTTTTTAAAACAATTATGACATACAAAGTTATTTAATTGTTTTTATCTCACTAACAAAGTTGATGAAAATGTTGACATATTAGAATTTTTCTCTATTTCTTAATGGCTGAGGATAATCAAAATATGTTATAAGCTAGGTAATACAGTATATAAAGGAGCATTACTGAATGTTTTGGTAATTGCCGATGCAAAAGTTCTTTCTGAATAACCTACTTTTTATATGTAGTCATTGTTTCTTTTACCATATCGTGCTTTCTGGGAAAAATATTACTTTTACATTTTCATACAAATACTTTTATCTTCAGAGGTAGCTTCTAAACAGCATCAAGTCGATGCCGCTTTACCTTTTTTTTCTTCATTTTATCTGCGTGTTTTAAGACATTCTGCATCGTTTCCTCATGCATTCCAATACCTTGGAATTGCCATTACCACATTTATGTCTTTTGTTGCAGCAAATTTTTGTTTAAATGCAATATCATCCAAAATTCACTTTAGCATTCTCATCTTTGTGAAATTTATTTGAGGGATATAATATACCTTTAAATCTACTTTAGATATAAAAGTGAATACCGTGGCAAGCATCAGACTGCTTACTAAGGGTGACTGCTTAATGTCAATTCGTCTGCTCTGCTGTCTAGTAATTTTGAACACTACCGAATGAATATTGGCTCGTATTACAATCGGCCTGGTCTAATTTTATGATTCGTACATAATCGAATTTCGCATTGTCGAACGCGTATATCGCGGTCTGCCTGCAAATATATACATGCCCTGATATCTCAGAATATCTCAAAATATCTTTAATAATCGTTCCTTTGACATTTTTGAGAAAATTAGCCCATTTTGCTTTCCAGTCCCTGAACACTTGGCAAAGCAATTACCCAAAGCTTTTCATCAGTCTAAGAATGAGCTCTTTCGATATAGCTTGTTAGGATTCTATATGTAAACCCACACCTCATTCTAAAGCTTTTCAGATGTATGCAGATGCTTTTGTAGTTGGATTTAGCCTCAGAAACAATTAGTCTGCCCATCTGTGGATATCAGGACATTCTCGCAATTTGGGATTCAGTTTTTGGCGAATTTTGATTGTCTGATTCATTTTAGCCCTGCTTTTTGCATCCAACCTGAGTATGAGATATCCTTTGATTTAATTAATTCAAAGCTAAATGAAATATTTTCTGGCTGCGCTGATAAAATATAATTTGCCATTGTACAATTTTAATTTATTTCACTTTTTTCTTCTGTATTCCTCATATCTTTTTTCCCGGTAGGTGTCGAATTCGATCTTTCCGAACAAGGGCCTAAAGGAGTGGCGATTGCAAAGATTGTGCCCTGTAGTCCATTGGACCGAGCCCTTCATTACCTCCCTACTCAATTGCAACCTAGTTCAAATTTTTACAGCCAAAAGTTACGCATGTATGGGGATGCTCCAGTCACTCAAAAGATTACAAATACATCACAGGAAACGTTGTCTCAACACACTCCTGTTTGCGCTGGTTCCGCTCTTCCTCTCGGTGTCTGGCCCAGGATGAAAGCGGATGTTCATTGTGCAACCAGCATGCCTCGTCTTCGTTCTGGTGACTGGATTGTTCTGTTAAATGGCGTCGATCTTCGACTATCCAGTCCCTTTAAAGTAGCAACTTGTCTTCACCAGTTGGTCGGATGGGAAGGCGATGTAGAGTGAGCCATCGTAGCTGACAGCCCGGTTTCGTCTACCTGACTCTCACTTCTCCTTTATACTTGTAGTATCCAATGTACTTATTCAAGGATCCAACAACTATATCCACCATTTATTTGGATATATAAGTTCTTTCCTCTGCGCCATTTAACTCTGCCGTTCACTATGCTAATATCTCACTCATGTTTAACCTGATTTAAAACTGCGGTTTGCAGCATTAGCCCGAGAACGTAGAAACAAAACTCACTACTCGCATTAAGAGTCTATAGGTTCACAGCTTCTTGATATACATCTGGTATCACTTTTGCAAAGACGGTAGCTTCTTCTTAGTTTATAATTAGGGCTTCCTCGATTAAATCATGTGATAAGACACTAAGTGTTAGGATAAGATAGGGCAGTCTTTATTAAGTAAATAATAAGTTAAT